CTGCTTGGCTTCGTTTGCCGAAGGGTTTCGGGGAGGGCTGTGAGAAACAGCACTCATTACAAGAACACAAGCCGCGCTGGTCGTGCAGCTTGTGCATTCTCGATGTTGAAGTGAGTTGAGCGGCACGTTACTGCATGTCATCCTTGATCACTGTTGGGGCCATGTCTTGCAGAGATCACGTACCCTCATCACTCTGTGGCGACCTGGCTGAACCCAGAAACCATTAAAGCCATACACCTCCAACTCCCAAATTCCAAGCTCCAGGTGACGATTGGCAAGCGCTGAACAAGCTTCTCCTGACGAGCACAACAAAAGATTCTGGGCTCTTGTTCGGGAATTTCTTGAACTTGATTTCAGTAGCAATAAAACGCCAACCACACTTCTTAACACACTTGCAGTTGACAAGAGCCAGGATCTTGACGACTCTATGACCTTGGGATCACCAGTGAACGAGTGGGCAAAGGACACGAACGGTTGGGGCCTTTAGGGCCTTGAGGACTTGGGGGGGGGGGCATTGTTCCTACCAGTCTGTTTAACAGTTTAACGTTTCTCAATGACATTTTCGAGGATCGTATAACATCATTACAGTTCTTGTATGATGATTGTTAGTTGATAGTTGCGCCAGGAGGAGACAGGTTCAATAATGTGGTTTTGCTCATACTCATACTCTGAATTTGGTTTATGTGTCTCTACCAGAATACAGAGTCTGCGGCTGCAGGCGTTCAGGAGCCTATGTAATGGCTCTATCATTACACCATACCCGAATTGCCAGGCCGGCCACCAGACAGATCTATTCTGGGGACCTGGGGTTTATCAGAGTTTATGTAGGGGGGTGCAGGAGAGATCCTGCCCTAAGCGCCAAACCCTAAATTCCTAGCCTCCATACTCCTCCCGCGGACCCGGACTTCAACTCCTTTAACAAGAAACCACAGCCTTACATCCCAAGCCACCCTAAAGCCAAGACTCGGGTTCCCTGTTGGGGGATCCTTTTCGTAGTCCTCCTTGTTGGGTTTAGATAAGTTCGGATGGTGGCTCATGGTCCTCTGAAGCCTGCAATCCTTTGACACCCTGAGTTGCTTTGAAGCTCAAGCAAAGCCTTAGAAACTCTGAGCTCCTTCCATAAACCTGAAGAACCCCAGATAATAAATAACCCAAGCAGGACAAGTGGTGGCTGATTGGTGCCGCCATCAGCACACCAGGGGGTCTCGGCCCAGGGACGTGCCAGCATCTGGGCTTCACAGCAGGTTCTTAGCAGCCCAATAGGGCGGCACAGGGGGGGTGGGGGGGTCAGTACACTCCCGATAGAAGCCCAAACGGGTTTACTTTGAGTTTCCTTAATTAAAACTGGACAAGTAAAATGTAGTCAGACCATCGCGTATAGAGATCACATGGCAGGATCCTTGAGAGGATCTCTGACAGAGGGGCCCGCTGATTTTGGCTATGGCTGGGACGACGACCCCTAGCAACTGCGAAAAAGGTTCCTTTTTGCCAGGAACCTCCTGTTGCTAGTGCTCAAGCGCCAGTTTAGAATCTCAGATCAGACTATGTATCCCTAGTTTTGGACTGAATTCTAAAGGCTCGGGCGGAATTCAGCGGGTTCATCTCATCCGAAAAGATGGCCCTAGGTGGGTTCGCGGAAACCTCCAACCCTCAGTTGCACAACTGCTAAGCCGCTGAGCCCTTGAACACGGTATGTTTCTCAGACATGCGCCAGAAAAATGAGAGCTAGGCCGTTTCCCAAATCTGCTAGATACGATGTTCCCCACCAGCAGCACTAGCGCCGTTGTGTTGTTTCTTGTGTTCACGGTCCGGTTTAGATGGGAAGAATGTGGAAAGGGTTGTTTCAACACGTGCCTATTTGGGGGGAATCTGGTGAAGTCATTGTAATTTTCGCGCATCGTGTTATCACTGTCGGATGTTGTTCCTTGTGGAAGCAGGAAGATCTGGCTTCTTGAGAGGACACCTTTAGAGGTTATGTGGTTTAGGGTTCAAGGCAGTTCCAGGTTTTGGAGTTTAGGTATTAGACTTTATAAAGGCTTCAAGTTCAACGTCTAGGTTTGAGGGCTTGGAATGTGTCGTTCTGAACACAGTTGGCTGACACGGATCCTGTACGAGTGGCAGGGTTAGAAGTTCACGCTTACAGAGTCTAGGGTGTTAAGCTTGTGGTCAATATGTCGGCGGTCGGGTTTGTTATTGCGTTTAGTTGTTTGCTAAGCGCCGAACTGAGGGCGGGGGCGGAGAGCCAAGCGGTGTGCCTGGACAGCGTGGTTCCGCTTTCGTGGGACCTCGGCCTTAACACAACATTCATCTCCCAGACCACCACTGGCGAGAACACATGCATGACATGGAAGTACTCGGCGTATTCGGCGTCGCTTTGAGCGCTTCATTTTCAGGGTTGGGTTTAGGTTTAGGGTTTAGCATAGAACTTTAATGTGTAAAGCTGTAAGACACTGTCCAGGAGCCCAGTGCCACCTTGTGAACAGAGAAATGCCCCACGGGCCGCCTCCAAACACTGGCACCACCTTGACCCTGAAACCACTTAGGCTTTGGGTTTAGGGTTTAGGTTTAGGGTGACGTTGGTTTTGCATTTCGATTGTTTTCGTGGCGGGCCAACAGGCAAGAAAGCAGCGGCTCTTCGTGCCAGTTACGATGGTTTGAAGACTCAGTGCATCTAACTGACAAGAACGGATTGCCTTGCAAGCTTTCCACCCCAAGCTTACCTATGTGTCTGCAAAGCCTGATCCTACGGGTCTGAAGGGATTGCGGGCCCAAACAGCTTACCATATGAGGCTCGTGTAAGCACCAGAATAAGTTAAGCAAAGTTGAAGCCAGAAGAATAGACCCCTTTTGAAACCCCAATGGGCGAGATATACAACAAACAACCCTCTAAAAAAACATACCGAAACCAGGCCTCCTTCAGACAGCGATGCTTACAAGACTCCTTTGTGGACACCTGCTCGCTTCAGCGCCGTCCTCGGTTCCTTGGCATCAGCGGCTTTGTCATGTTTTCAACATTTTGGTAGGGCTGGTACGGGTTTGTAGGGGTTTGGGGATCCTCGCAATTGTCGCCCCCTTGTTTCACATTTGCATCTCTTTGCAAGGATCCCAACCACAAATTGGGATCCGCCAGAAACGGGGCCACACGGGAAGCAGCCTAGGCACTCGAACCTTAAACCGCTGCAAAAAGAAACCAGAGGTCATCATAAAAACTCACGTAGCCCTCAGCACAAGGAGCTCAAACCCGACGGCCCAGCAGCCTTGGGTAATACGATCTTTGGGCCAAGAGCACTAGGCTCTAAATGCCGAACCGTATATGCGAGTCCTTTGGGCCGCAGGGTTCGCAGGTCATGATCGTAGGTCGCGTTCCCACGAACGTAAAGCCCACAGCTTCAGGTGGCGGTGCCAGACAATGGGCACCCATGGACTTCTGTGAGACGGGTTGTGAGGACCTGTGCCTCGTTTCGTTATGTTGGTTTTCGGAGTTGTAGGGGCGTGAATTTACTTTAGGCTTCTGTGGGGTGTTTAGCTTACCGTGGGAGTCTCGTACCACACTTCTGTAGCATGAACAACTCCCATCGCTGGTTTGTGCGGTTTAAGTCTTGTTGTTTATCCAGCCCACGAAACCCAAGGCGGCTTCAATATGATGCTATGGGGCAGACCCATGTCTCCGACAAGGTCGGTTACTACGACTTCCTCGGCTTCAAAACGTCTCTATTTGGTGCGGTGAGCGCATCCACTGCATTTATGGGCTGGGCTGCTGTCGCTTGGCCGATTTCTAGGGGCGACAGTTGACTGTCCGTAAGCCTCATGGGAGGTTGGTATCCAAGTTTTTGAGCACTAGTTTCGCCCCTTGTCAGCTGCGATGTTGGACCACTTGCAACCAATGGTAGTTTCTGGCATTGCATGGTACCCTTGACTTGTGAAACCCTCAGCAACGCATTCGTCCCAATGCAAGCCAAAACCAAAAGATCCCGAAACTGTGCACTATGCCTTGTGAATCTGAAATCTTGGCAATATCCGTAAATGACCCTAAAGCCCAAGACCTCTCTTTGGGGATTCAGGGTTCAGGCAGCTCCAAACAGATGTCGGAACACAAAGCCCTTATCAGTGCTGTAACTGGGTCTTGGGTTTGCGATTTGCTTCTCCCTGCCCTTCTATTCCAGCAGGATGTGAGCAGAAAAGCCGTGCCTTCATTCGCAAAAATGTTGACGAATCTGCTGAAGAAAACGGCCTGGGCGACGATCAAGGGCCTCCCAAAGAAATGGCAGGAGACTTTCAAATGCCTTGAAGGCGCCTGCACGGGATCCATCCAGTAGCACCGGTAGTAGCGACGATGACTACTACTTCTACTGCTGCTGCTGCTGCTGCTGTGCTATTACTATTGGTATTAGTATTAGTATTTGTGTAAGTATTCGTGTTAGTATTCGGATTAATATTCGTATTAATATTCGTATTCGTATTCGTATTAGTATTAGTATTACTATTAAAATTACTACTACTATTAACTATTACTTGTGAAGCACCGCAAACGGTTTTGCAAAACACTCGCAAACACGCTGCGGTAGCTGCCTTTTGCTTCGCGAGCTCAGGCTCCTCAGGTCCCGTAAGCACCGCCGCGTCAACGGCTGACCGCAGGCGTGCAACTCAAGAGCTACACTACCTACTTTCTGCCGTGCGCAATTGGCACCTAGTAGCTGAAAGGGCTTGAGCCAAAACGTTTCGTTTTGGCAAACAATCGATTAATTACAACATGCAAACTACACAAAGCTCTGCAGAGACAGCACATGTGACTGACACATGTATGCAAGCTCACCAGCCGAGGCTCCACATGTGGCTGCATTAAAAGGTGGGGAGGGACGCGTCCGCGATTCCAAACAGCCCGCGAGAGCAAGCGGCTCAGGCGAAGCCCGCGAACGCGTCGCGCAAACGAAACGCACGAACGACCCTCCTACAACCTGGGGCGACTTTTACACGTCCGGGTTCAGACAGGCAAGGTGCCTATGGACATCCTGAATGTTTACCAATATGCTGCCAACGATAAGCCCGACACACCTGACCATAGGCATCGGTTTCTTCTATGCCTGCAACGGTGTCTTTCAAGCCTACCTCGGCGTCATGCCCTCATACTCTCTGGTGACTTCAACAGCACTTGCAGTCCTGTGCCGAAGGTCTGTGGGCCGCACGTGCTACCGGTTGTGGAGACGCACACATCGGACTACATGGACCTGCTCCACCTTTGTGAGGCGCAATCACTAGTGGTTCTCAACTCCTGGAAGGCTCCGTCCTGGGAGCACACCCTGGCTACCTTCACGTTCGGTAAGCTACAATCACAGATAGACTACATGATGGTCAGGCACAGCATGGCAACTGCCGAGGCCAGGAAGGCTGGGGTCATTCGACTCTATCCGGTCGCCAGCTGGAGGGAGGGAGCGAATCACCATGCGGTGAAGGCTACTCTTCCCCTTCCTCGACCGCTTTGGCTCTCAAGGCCGAAACCGACTGCTGTGCACCAGATTGACGTGTCTCAAATGATAGCCGACATTAGGGCTACCACTCCGACTTCGGCGCCCAGTGCTTTTCGAGATGAGGTTGCTGATTGTGTTCAACCGAATCTACACATGATGGATAGTGTCGTCCTTCAGGCAGCGATCAAGCACTACCCCAAGAAGGAGCCACCGAAGAGGCCCCCTACTCAGCCTGAGGAACTCGCCAGCAGTGCCAGACATCTGTGGGCTTTACACCGCCAAATGAAGGCGCAGAAATTTACCGCCAAGGGCATCATGGAGGCCTGGAAACTCTGGGCTCAGTTTGCGAAGGCTCACAAGATCTACAAACAGAGAGCAAAAGCACGCTCGAAGGTCAAACGGGATGAACTACTTCAACAGGCTCAACAAAAGCTGCAGACAAAGGCAATTCCCATGACATGTGGAGTCGCGCCGAGAAGTCGACACAAAAAGGTCCAACTCTATAAGCACGGCCACCTGATGACCTGCACGGCGGAGCTGGATTGGATCGCGGAGGCCTTTGGGGACCGATTTGGGGCCCAGTTCTCAAGTGCGCCAGGGGCACTTCTACGACAGCGTGCGCCTGTTCAGCTTCAGGCCGACCACGTGCTGGAGGAGCTCCTGAACATCCCTGTACGCAAGGCCGTCCCTCCTGGAGCTGTCCCTGCCATTGCGTGGCGGGCGTGCGCTGGTCGCAAAGGTCCATGAAGACTGGCGGGACGACCATGTTCAAGTTCACCAAGATTGGGCTAAGGCCGATGTTGCCCTTCTTCCCAAAGGGAAACCCAATGCAAGCTCTCCATTGGATCTAAGACCCATTGGCCTGCAGCACCCGGTGGGGAAAACCATTATGAAAGTAGTCCTCTCGATGGTAAAGGAGGAAATGGTCGAGATGGTGCGGAAATGGCCTCAGACGGCCTACCTGCCAGGCCGGTCGACCATCACAGCTCTGAAAACTGTCTTTGCTCATTGCGATGCCGTACGGACACAGTGTGCGCGCACTAGACAAAGCCTGCATGACAAGTACGAGGGTGTCAATGCACCTCCCTTTTCCGGAGGTCTACAAGTAAGCCTGGATCTGACAGCTGCGTTTGACTTAGTGGGCTGGCAGCACATCAAGCAAGCGATGGAGATGGCTCACATCAATGAATCTGTTCAGGAGCTTCTCTTGCAATGGCTTCGTCAAGTGGTCTATGTGTTCCACCATGGCCGGGACTCCAGGTCGGTGCGACCCCACTGTGGACTCAGACAAGGATGCATTGCATCCCCTATGCTTTGGAGCATCTTTACTGCTCTTCTATGCCAGGCTTTCGATGCACAACTTCGCACCAGCTGGTCGGGCGAGCATGCTGTGTTGTTCGCCGACGACTCACACTTACGATGGCAGTTTAGCACCTTCACGGGACTTGAAACCGCCATCACGGAGCTCAGGACCATCTTGAAGATCTTCGCTCGGTTTGGTATGAAGGTGAACGAGAAGAAAACTCAGGCGCTTCTGATGGTCACGGGCAGTGATAAGGGTAAGGTGCACAAACATTATGTTCGCACTGGGCATGAGGGCAAGCGACTTCTACTTTCACCGAAGGATCCCACACGATGGTTGCCGCTGGTCACCCAGGCTCCCTACCTGGGTCTTATCATTGCATATGATCGGTTTGAGGCCCTCTCCACCCGACATCGCATCTCAAAAGCGAACCAGCGCAGATGGGCTCTTGCCCCGGTGCTACACTCTCGTCGGTTGGGTGAAATACAAGTTGCAGGTGTGGCGCTCTTGCGTGCAGACGACGCTCCTCTACGGGCTACATGCTTTCGGCCTGACGCCCAAGCTGATGCGCGAGATTCAGTGAAACATATCCGGGCTGTGGTATCGGACCCTAGACATGTTACCGGCCATACGCATCAGGAAGTTCTTGAAAAATATAACCTGGAGGCCATGTACACCCTCATTGAACGTGCACATGATCGTGTACGGGCAGATGGCGGGAACCCTGATTGGATGGCACTACCGGAGTGGGATGAGCATATCTCTCAATGCTTGAAGGCAGTGACCATGGCCACCTCTGGCCAGGACCCAGACTCTGAGCCTGAAAACTGGGCATGCCCGGAGTGTGATTCCTTCTTCAGCTCGGCGGCTGCCTTGAAGATTCATGCGTATCGAGCACACGGCATCCACAAGCCTCTTCGCATTTTCGATAGAGCCCGACACGCTGTGAAAGGACTACCCACACGTAGGTTCTGCGAGAAGAGATTTGCTAGATGGCAAACGCTGGAGCATCATGTAAACGCCTTGGCCTGTCCCAGCATGCTTGTGGAACACAAGTTGGATAAGAACGGTCGAGCACAGATGGAAGTACGAGTACCAAGCCTCGCCCATGATGTAGAGGATCCTGCAAATGACAGTGACGCTGATGTTGCCTCTGCACACACTGCGATCAATGACCCACGACCTCTTGCACAACAGCTCTTGGTTCAACAGACTGCGCAACAGGGTCTACGATTCTTCATACAACAACCCCATATTACGCGACAGCTGCATCAGCATTGCGGAATTTGTGGTTCATGGGTGGCATTGCAGAAGGTGATGAAGCTTCACTATAGGAGCACGCACCCTGAGATTTTTCCAGCTAGGCAGAAAGATATCTCACGCATCATTGAACTGAGTGCTACTCCTAGCATTCGCTGTCATTACTGCGGATCGTCGCCAAAGGACTGGAAAGCTCACATGTACAAGTGTACCACCATTTGGCAGTGTGCAGTGCTATGTTTGGTTTCTTTAGCAAGGGTCGTGCTCCAGCAAGAGCAGGAGATCAATCTGCTGAAGCAGGACACGTCATTGGTCCTATGGTTCAGTCCAGGGGGCGACTCGATCTTGGGTCATCTTTATCGCACAGCTCTGGAGTTCAAAAAGAAACAGGCTGCCGAACCAACGTGGGGAATGGCCCACATGCCGCTGAAGCAAGTGATGGCTCTCTCGAGGTTTCGCGAGCTCAAGGAATGCCACCACAAGGTTCTCAACACAAAGGAGCTGCTGCAGCGTGCGCTGGAGATGGGATGGAGGGACACCCAAGGGTGGCACTTTCAACAGTGGAACCCGAAGCTCAAACATCTAGAGCTGGACAAACCTCGGCCACAGCTTTCGGATGTAGATATGTCGAACAAGCTCGAGCTTCTGACGGAGCATGTCAAGAGGGATGTGGTACATCGTTTCCATTGCACCAGGCGATTGACAGAGACCATGGACAGCAAGGCCACCTTCAAGCTGGACCTTTCAGTCCGGAACAAGCATGCGGAGGAGATTTGGGACATCCTGATCGAGCTCCAGGGATGCTGTGTGTTTCAGTTGATTGGGCTGGGCTACAGGCGGGAACGATTGGGCAAAGGACCTCTGTGCCAGAAAATCCAGGACCAGCTCCGGTATTGAGGCGCGTCTTTGTGAATCAGGCGAATGCTTGCTATATGAACGCCGCGGTGCAGGTGATGAAATGGCTCCTTCATGCCACTGGTAATGGTGCGGACGCATTGGGGACAGGCGCTCCTTTCTTTGATTCTACAGCAATGCGAGGGCAGTGCATCACTCTTATGCAGGTTCAGGAGTGGCGGCTTTTTGTCACTGGCTGGACGGAGGCTCATCGACAGCATGACATTGCTGAGTTTCTGGGCTTTCTGCTTGGTGGTATGGCTCCTCCTCTTTTTCAGGGCATCTGGCAAGCACGCAGCGTTGCCGAAGGGGGACGTGTTCAATGCATTGATCAGGGGCCTTGTACTCAGCTGCTCACATTACCACTGCCTCGTGGACCACCTGGTCTTCGCGCGACGGTCAAGGTACAGTCGATGATTGACATATGGCAAAACGGCCGGGATCGTACTCAAGGCCTGCATCTGCCGCCTCGTATCCTAGCCGTTCAACTGCTGCGATTCAATCAAAATGAGGGGCATGTAAAGAAGACCCGAATGGAGGTGGAGCTGGGGGATCCTTGGCTCTCAATGCCGACTTTCACCAATGAGGGGCTTGAGCGGACACCTGTGCACTACCGACTGAGTGCCTACATTGTTCATCATGGGCTTACGCCCAAATGTGGTCATTACACGGCTGCTTTACTGGATCACTCTAGGGGCATTTGGCTTTGTGATGACAATCGCACTCCTGTTTCCCGCCGTCTCATCAACGAGATGTTTATATACTGATGTATCATCGTGTGGACCCGTATTGAGGGGGTCATGTTGGATGAACGGCGATTTTCTTGAAGTGCTACGCTCCTAGGCCTTACGAGGCGGTAGCATGTGTCAGGGAGTCAACCGAAACAGGTTGAGCGCAATATCGCGCCGGGGACGAGTCCCGCTCACACTCGTCGCACGGCGGACCCTCTCCGCTGCGAGGAAATCTGAAATCTACTACTACTACTACCACCACTACTACTGCCTACTTCTGCTACAGAAGATTCATTCACCACGCAGCGAAGTGTCCGGGTTCGCCTAGCGAGCTGACGATAACCCGGTTTTCGGGGTATCGGAACCTCTGTTGGGTTCTGGAGGGCAGTGCCAGCTCCATCGACAAGACTACACTTGCTCAGCGTCAGGCACCAGGAGGTAGTACCTGACGTAGCCACACTATATATATGTTGTCATCGTGTTCTGTGCTGACTGGCTTTGCGATGCAGGAGTCATCAGTGATCCACCACTTTTCTGCTCCAAACAGCGGTTGTCCTCGCAGGATAGTTCGGTAATGCCCCATATCAGGAGTGGCCCCGTAGTGAAGCTGTACAGCGACAACCTGGTAGTGAACATAGCGAACTTGCATAGTGTGCAGACCTGTAAAGAGTGGCATACGAACTGTAGTCGAGGCCACGACCAGTGGTCTGGTGTCCCTGCGCATGACTCCCTCGGCATTTGTGAAGCGTTGGAGTTGTATACAGAGCATGGGAGACGGATTCAGCAGTGCATAGCGGGCTGTAACCTGAGCACTCCACCCATCAATGGCTGCTTGGAGCTCCAGACTTGGACCTACCGGCAGCGCAATCGGAATGGGAGCTTGGGTAGGCCCCTTGTCAAGAGTGGCAATACCTCCAGGTACAAAGTTTCGGGCCTCCCAGCCACCATTGAACCCACTATGCGAGAACCTGGGTAGAAGATATTGTAACAGTTCAGCTGCATCGTGCTGACGATGCACAGAAGGCCAAGCTTGCAGCAGCATGAGCCACGGTACCGAGTGGAGTACCTGAATGGGACAATTGGGTGTGGCAGTGATTGGTGGACACAACATGGTAAGAGCCTGCGGTGGAGGCGAAACGTAGGCATCATGCAGCCTAGCCTGAAGGATTGTCCACAATAGTGCATAGATCGTAGAGTGTAGGTAGCACAAGTTTGAAGGATTGTGGAAAATCAATCGAAGGACAGCCTTGAGACTAGGGCGCACACTCAGTATGGCATCTGATGTTGCCACACTTCCTGGACCAGGGTGTCGTAGTTCGGTCGATCGCGGCGAAGCCTGCATCCCAGGGTGTGCCACGATGCTTGTCCGATCCACTGGTTCAGCGTGCTCCACATGGCTCCTCCCTCTGGGCGAAGGGACATGCAGATCTGGAATTGAATCCAGTCGGAGGTCACCTCCGTGGTGAGCTTCCTCATGGACTTGAACCTCACCAGGGTCTCTTCCGTAACAGCTTTCCTCATCTGAACCAGTTGGGCCAACAGATCTTCCGCCGGTATTGGCCTCACCGAGTTGTCGACTTCCAGACATTGTTTGGTAGGATTCCATGTAAGATGTTTCCAATGTTTCTGATCGTCGATCCAGTTCAGGTTCTTGGCTTTGGCGAGAGCATCCTCGTCCGCAATCATGTTGGTCAACCTCTGGTGTAGGGTGATGAGCAGCTGCTTGAAGAGCATGAGTTTGAGGGAGTAAGTAATCTTCTCGGGTTCTTCCTCTTTCATCTTCCTCCACTTCTCCGCTGCTTCGCAGAGAACCGGTACCATCCCTTCTGGCCCTGATCGTACAAAGAGGTAGAGGACCAGATCCTGACGGATGGCTGAGATGATTTGCTCCTGACGAAGGACCAGCTGGGAGAGTCGATTCATCCTGTACTCCATCCAGTCTGGATCGTGATTTCCCAGTGGCTGCAGGTCCTGAGTCTGTGTCCAGGGATTGGGTGGATGGCTTCCGAAACCATTTGTGTAGCCCGTGACCTGGTTGGCACTGGATGGACTTGGTAGGCCCTGCTTTCCCTTGCCTTTGCCCTTGGTACCCTTGCCCTTGCCTTTGTTCCGGTCCTGCGGAGCCAGACGCTGCCTCTTGGATTGCTCGGTTTGATGCATCACATCTCGTCGTGGTTCCTGTTCCCGTTTGACCGGACCGGCATGGGCCCAAAATTGCTTCTCCTGTTCGTCCAGCTCCATGGGATCCGCGCAGAGCGTCATGGTGCACTGCTAGGAAGGCACAAATATGCAAAACATGACACTGTTTCCAATGACGATCTTTGTTGATGTTTCGCTGATGGCAGTATCGACATGGTACAACAGTATGTCGGCGGAAACCAGTAAGAAGCTTGAGAGTCGCAGGTTGGCATTCTTTCCACTCTGGATGTTGCATGGTGAGATGATACTTGATGCTGGTAGGGGTGGCTAGCCACTGGTAACACAGCGGGCAGTGGTGCTGGAGATACGAGTAGGTCTCCGGTTTCACAAGGAGGTCAGTCCACCTGCGGGCACTTAGCGTCTCAAGAACATGAGATTGCTGATAGAGAGGAGCAGCCTCATGGCTCGGCGAAGTGGAGCTATCCTGCAGGAGAGCATCCAAGACAGGGGGTGCAGGTATGCCGGCAGGAGTAGGCGGGGGCATGGCAGCCTGATCATTGGACAGGATGTGGGTCTCCGGAGAGAGATCCTGAGGTGGCAGAGTAGCCGGGTCAGGGACTAGTACAGGATCGGAGTCATCAGAACTCGGAGCCAAGGGTGGGGCAGCAGCAGGAGGTTGTGTGGCGAGTCTTCGGAGTACCTGACACCGATTACGTTTAATGTGCTTGACGAGGCCGTCCCATTGTCGAAAGGGATGGGCACAGTGTCTGCACGTTGGAAGTCCTTCTGTTCCATGTGCATACCTGTCAAAAGGCACCGAGACAGCAGCAGGTGTTTTGAGGCCATGCCACTTAGCCTCGTGAGAGCGGAGTAGCCGAAAGGAGGTAAAGACCCGATGACATTCCTGGCACTGATGTACAGCAGGATCTGTGATGCCCTCTGTGTCCCCAAGAGGGACCTGCCATTGGCGTTGCACTTGGAGGTGAAGTGTAGCGGCAGTGTCTCGAGCTGATTCCACCTGGGCTTGGGTCACAAAGCTCGTTTCAGTGCTTAGGCGGGACAGGCTACGATGCAAGGCAGCGGCTTCCCTCTGTAGGTGCTCCAAAATGGTGGACAGAGAGCATCTGTGTAGAAGGTCCTGTGTGGATTCTTTCTGAAGATGTGCAAAGGATCGTGTGATGGCTCGAACCTGCTTGGTCATCATGTGCTGCATACGCTGGATGTCCTTGGCACCTGGGTTGGATGCTGCGATGCCATAGAGCAGCGTGGGAAGCACTGTGGATTTCCATAGACTGAGACGATGCGTCTGAGCGAGATGCCTGGTGGAGCACAGTATACCACGGAGTCTTTGCCAGGCTTGGTTCGCAGCCTGCAGCCGATAGGTGACTGCTTGTTTGGCCTGTGAATGGTAGGAGATACGTATGCCTAAGTACGTGTGATGGTCACGCAATGGAATTTCATACACTGTTCCCCGGGGACTGCGAAAGCGTAGGAGGTCCCCCTCGGGTTTGGGTATGAGGTGTCGGCGCAGCCAGCCTCTGATGAAACTGCCCTTGTGTCTCAGTAGCAATGCTGATTTGGTCGAGTTGATGACCATACCATGGGCCGCAAGGGCATCGAGGATCGTACTAAAGCGATACACCATGTCGTCCAGCTCACGAGTGTTCTGCACAGTATCCTTGAGGTGTATATCATCAGCATAAATCGTGGAGCAGTGCTCTAGCCAAGGTGCTGTGAGAAGTGGGTCCCCCGCAGCAAGAATCTCACGATATATCTGTGCTAGGGCGAGAGTCCAGAGCAACGGAGCCAGTTTACACCCTTGTCTAAGTCCTCTTTGGGCCTCCACCTTGGCAGTGTGCCCAAGGTGAGTAAGGACATAGGAGATTTCAGAGTGCCAGGACATGATTTGGTGTCTAAGCTCGGCCGGAACTTCGGACGCGAGTAGAGCCTGGTCCAGCAGGCGCCAGTCCATAAGGTCAAAAGCACTGGACAGGTCCAGCGATAGTTGTGCACCTGCAAAATGTGGGCAGGGTTTCGGCTGTTGTGCGTGACGATCAACAACCGTAGGTGTTGAAATCGAGCAGCGATCCTGAACATATTTGCAGTGTGCAGCAACCCGATGTATGGCTTGTGCAGCATTGCGACCTGGCAGATATGCAAATTGTGCCTGGTCTGCAAGGAATCTCTCGGCGTAGGGACGCAATTTCGCCTGCAGAATGGAGGCATATGCACGGCCACTGGATTCAGTTAACCCTATAGGTCTGAGATTCTTTGGTGAAAGGGGTCGTGGAATCTTGGGAACAAGGGTCAACCATGCGCTTCGCCAAAGCTCTGGTATTTGAGGCCATTGCCGGCACCATTGGCACAAGAGAGGCGCAACAAGGTCTGAGGTCAGCCTCCATAGAGAGTTTGTGGCTAAATTCGGAGGTGTAGCTTTATGTGGTGACAATTGCGAAAGTGCCAGGGTCATTTCGGCCTCCGTGACTTCAATGCGAATGGGCTGTCGCTGGGGGCCCTGTATGCTGCCATCCTCGTCCGCAGCATACAATTTGCGATAGTGCGTTTCCAGCTGTTTTAGCTGGGTCTTGGGATCCTGCAGGTGTCCGCCAGAATCTCGCAGTTGAACCTTCGGCTTGGAGGATTTGGGAGCTAAGGTACGAATGCCAGCATATAGCTTGCGAGAGTCGCCTGAACTGGCAGCAGTCTGGAGTTCCTGTAGCCTGCCATGGAACCAGTGCTTTTTGGCTTCTTTCCCGGCACGACGAAAGGCCTTGTGTGCCGTCTTGAAGTGATGGTAGCACCTGGAAACATAAAGCGGATTATGCTGAGCTTGAGCTTTGGCTGTCTTCCAGACTCGGTAGGCCTGCCACATGGAGCGAATACCATCCTGCATAGGCGGTGTTTGCCATAGTGCCAGCCGATGCTGTCCTGCGGGTGGCGGGAAGAATTGGGAGGCACAGTGGATCAGAGTTTCATGCAATTGCCCAAGATCATGGACCCCTGGTAGGGACGCCTGGACAGCAGAGCGTAGACTTTGAACTCTCGGATCCCAGGTAGAGCGGCAAACCTGAATCAGGCCCCAGTGGTCCCATGCCCGTTGTGGTGCCACCGGTTTGTTAAGAGTGTGGAAACGCTGAAGCGGGATGCTGGCCTTCAGTGGCAGGTGATATCCACCAAGTCTCCAGGCAGCCAGTCCCAGGCGGAGCGGTCTCGCCTGCCTAGCACGATCATCCGCTTGGCTGGAACGCATGATGATATGATCAATAAGGCTAGCACCTTTGTTGTGATGGTATGTAGGGCCAGCCGCCTTGCACCATGAGTTGAGGTGTAAGAGGGAGAAGTCCTCAACAAGGTGCTGCAACCTTGCCTGATCAGGCGGATGTGTACTCGTGCTGGTGCCTGAACAGATCCTGGTGCCGGCTGCAGCACACGGCTTGATCTGAGTATTAAAATCTCCAAGCATGATCACTGTGTTTCGGGCAGGCAGAGCTGCCAGGATCTTGCCAATGCACTCCCAGACAGCTAAACGTATGGTTTTCGAGGATTGCAGTGCGAGTGGATGAGAGTTGTGCGGCTTTTGATAGATGTGCAGCAGGTCAACTGCCCATTTGTCGTGGAGTATCCTCAAGTGTTGCACCCTGCCCGGTTGTGGGTCGGCGTAAACAATTCTGCAGTTGCGGGTAGTATTCTTATTGAGAAGAATCAGGAGCCCAGCAGATTTGTTATCTGTGGTTGGGGAAGTGTACACATCCCAGGTAGCAGTGGGAAATGTTGGCGCCACCTTGTCCGTCCAATGTGTTTCTTGTACACACACGATTTGGGGTCGTTCGTCAGGTGGCATGTTTTCAAGTGTCAGCAAGAATTCCTGCCACAGGGCCTGGGACAAGCCTCCAGCATTCCATGAAAGGAACAGCAGGCGTCCCTGGGAGACTTTCAGAGCGGCCTGCTGCATGCGACGCTCAGCCTGACGGGCAGGTCGATGGCCCCGATAGCCCTTGCAGAGCTGTTGCAGGGTACAGACACGACCTCGATAGATCGTATGCTGGGCCTCGTCCTGTGCAGCACGACGTAAGGCACGTTTGTAGGATCGCTTCCTGGCAAATGTGTGCACATTTGAATGGACGGTAGCCTGATTGAGGGTCGCTGAGTGATGTGCAACTGTAGGATGCAGGGGGTGTGCAGATGGCACTCCCCAGATCGACCTTGGTAGTGTAAGCAAAGTCGAGATGAACAGAATAGGGCGAGGGCATAGCCTGGGGTACGGCGTCGTGCCCGGAGTCTGACTGGGGCAATGCGTAGTCGACGGAGGGCAAGACCTGTCAGCAGTGTGGGTAGGTCGAGTGGCAGGTGTTAGTGTTTGTACTCCAGAGAGAGGCCTCCGGAAGCGAGAAGGGCCAGTAGAGGTAAGATGTAGAAGTGCTGGAGCCCGGATGGCAACAAGGCGAACAGGGAGACCCTGTTTGTAGAGGAAGAAGTACCGGGGCTTAGACTGCAGTGGAGCATATCCTAGCAGCAGCTTGTCCAGACTGTTTGGCACTCCACAGGGGTCTGTAGTCTGATCTCCCAGACCAGCCCGCGATGAACAGATAACTGAAAACGGAGTGGAGGTCAGGCTAGGGGAGCAGGCGATGCCTAGAGTGACTCCTAGGTCAAAGCAAGTAGTGTGGTTTGGTGGGGGGTCTCGCAAGACTGCCCTCACCGCAGAGTGTAGTTCATTGGGCTCCTGCCACGGCTTCCCGTCCCCCACCACAAAGGTGAGTTTCGGTCTCGTGAGCGGGTGGCAGCCACTCACAACCCTCGCCCCTACCGACTGTTCGGAGGCTAGATGGACAACCAGCGGGTGTCTGAGAGATAACAGGTTGTCAGCCGTATGAAAAAGTCGGTCTCCGGAATTGGGACCGGAGTGGCTCAGGGCAGGTATGTTGAGATTATGAGAGAGGCACTTCGGGATGCCAGTTGTCCATGTTGTCAAAAATGCTGGCATCGACTTCGGAGGACGGTGCAGCAGATCGGCTACACATCTAATCCATAGAGTGCAGATCCAGGGCCGGAGGGGAAACCTTGGGTTGCAACGGCTCGGCAGAAACAGACTCACGGGATCTGATCTTGTTGGTCTGCGAGGTGCTAGTTTGTTGCATGCGGGTGGCATAGGGGGTGCTTCTACGATATTCAAGCCGACACCACTCACAGCATGGGTCCGCCAGACGATAGGCCAGCCACGTGCCCGGGATGTCCTGCACAAATTGGACAGGAACATATCTCGAGGTGATGTCTGCTCGATCCACTGGCCTGCGCCCAATGGCGAAGACAGACCTGAAGGCAGGCTAAGGGAACCGCGAGATGGGGTTAACAGCTGCTTGGGGGTGACAGTCTCAAGATCTGAGAGCCCGTCGGGTTGCAGACCAGCTCCTGGTGGTGGAGGTGGGCATCGGACCGAAGCAGGTCCAGCAGCAGATGGTCTGGTGTGTCGAAGGCACACCAGGCAATGTTCAGGTCTGTCAGTCAGGAAAGCGTCTGGCCACCCCTGCCAGGTGCAATGGCTGGAGCAATCATCACGAGAGCAATAGGTATGCAACAGAGTAGGGCCTGTTGCCAGTGCAGCTGACATACCTCGAGGCACGACACAGCGATAGTGAGCACGGTGTGGGGAGGCACCGCAGTGCCATGTGAGCCCGACTGGCATTGTCGTAGATGTGCACACGGGACGTTCAAGGCCTGGATGGGTACATGGAAAAGAGCTCAGGTGCCTTTCAAACCCCCAGCAGATTAACGAAGGGACCTGCAAGGAGTCGGGCGTGCCGTCGGGCATCCGGCAGGTCGGAAGATACAAGCCTGATGGCCCCAAGTGTTGCAGGCAGTGACTGGTGGAAGGAGCAACGAAGGTTTGTGAGCAGGGAACCCACCTAGGTGGCTTCCCGAACCTAGGTGCAGAGGTCTGCAACTCCTAGCACTCAGTAAAGCGATCCCTGCCTGTGTCATCCTGGTTTGACGAAGTCGCCAGTAGGCTAGACCTTAGAAGAGCGAAGACATGAAGCTTGCCCGAATGATGGGAGGGGGGCATGTGTGTCTTCAGGCAAGACTGGCTATGCCGATGCAGACGTGGACATGATGAACAGCAGGCTGGATCCTTGTATGCTGCACTGGATGAGGCCGCTGAGTCCGAGTGAAGTCCAGCGGCTCTATTGGCCTGGAAGATTTCTTCCATTTTCTTGGCCATCTTCTTGCGGACACGTTCTTGGTGCCTCGCAGCTTTGGTCATCCCAGTGCCACGGCCTTTGGCTGCAGTTGAGGAGGTCGTAAGTGGTTGATCAGCCGGATTGTCCGTGACATCAAACCAAATCGATCGTCTCGGCTTGGGCCGTGTCTGCATCCTCCTTGGTTTCGGAGAGGGAGCATCAGATCGAACCCGTTTGGGTCCTCGTTGAGGTGGATCTGATGGGTCGGCCAAGGTAGCAGCCGAAACCGTGGTCGGAGCAGTGGGAGTCTCCGAGCTATGTGCTGTGGCCGATCGAAGGACGAGATCTCCTGCCTGTATGGTGAGCTTCGCTTGTGCAGGTGTGCAGTCCTTCTCTAGTTCAGAAGGGATGTGTGGCAGGCGACCACGCGCTTTGGGTGTCGGCTTGAGTCGGCCTTTGTCGTCGATCGCCGGGTCAGACCGCGAACTGGAGCTGGGCAAAGGTCTGGAGGAGGCAGAAAGTGCCGCGAAGTCCACAGCCTGTATCAAAGCACTGCTTCGTCGCTTGGACTCTGTGAGGCAAGGGTTGGCCTCACGGGCGGGCGTCCATGTGGCCTGCACAGCAGTTCCCTCAGGCAGCATATTCTCGGAGCGCACTGAGAGCCAGAGGGCCACCAGCTCCACCGATTCAGCACTTTGTATAACCTGATCAGTACGCTTGCCATGTTTGTTGCTCCCCGAGGGAGCATACACCACCTCCCACTTGGCAGCCCAAAAGAGACCATCTCCACATAGTGGTATCCATCGCATGTAGTTCTCCACCTTGTGTTGCAGGCTGTCGCGGTGCAGATACACCCCTGGACAGCCTGCCAGGAATCTGTCACCTTTCGACTCGTCAGTGCTCGGGAGAAGTTGGCCATGGTAGATGATGGAGTATAGTGCCTCCATCTTACATCCGTGCCAGCCCCTTAGCCAGCCATCCTGACACAGCAGCTCGCAGTGCGATGGATCCAGTGGTGTCCACGGGAGCCTCCACCAACCATCAGGTTGCGGGACTGGGTCCCCAAGTAGGGTGGCAAGAGGTGTGCCAGTGGGGCCTTGCCGTGTCCTGAAGAAGCTCTGCAGAAACCTTTCCACATCCAGGGTACAAGCAGGAGCACTCGGCGGTTGGGGCAGCTGTGTCCTGGCCTTGGCCCCCCAGATCAGTACCCGATCTGGAGAGGCAGGTAAAGCATGATCGGCCAGGTTCCATTCAGAAGGGCCACCAGAAGATCGGGGATCAAAGGCCGGAGCGGGCTTCCTCTCTGTAGTGGGTGTCCCTGTAGCTGTGGCAGAAGCTGACGACTGGGTCGTAGAGCTCGTGGTGTTCTGCTGAGCATCGCTGGTGGGATGCTTTCTCATCCTCTTGGGAGGAGGCGGACTAGGAGTACGAGGTTGTGGTATCGCAGTCTTGCCTCGCCTGGGCTTGGTGGGCCCAGTCTCCTCTTCCCTCGGAAGAACCAGGGCAGGCCGAGGTTTGCGCCAGGTCACCTGCTTTGTCCCCGGGTGGTAGTAGAAGGGCCGATCGCTAACTTGGTCAACGTGTTTTTCCCAGGGTGCCTCAAGCGTAGCATCTTCCACCGGGGGATGGATATAGTGGCCAGCTGGATTCCGTTTGGGTGCCGCCGGAGGCACCATGGTCTCCAGGGCCTGATAGCCGAGGAGGTATCGGGCGCTGTAAATGGTTAATGGTGGGGGAGCACATCTCCACCTCAGACTCGGCTCCATTCCATCACACATGGAAGCTTGTGTGGCTTCCAACCCCAGTCGGGGAGCGAGGTGCTCCTTGTCGATTGTAAAAATACGACGTTGTTCATCCCGAGGGCCTTGTATGATCCGCACATTCCGCGTAGTGTTGCGGTCACACTCCAAGGTAGGGAGCACAATCCCTCGGCGACCGACGAGATGACGTCTGTGACCGTCGATCACCTCCACTTCGGTCCCCACTGTAAGCGGGACGAGTGCTGCCTGCCACTGTGGCCGGTCAGGCTCGGAGGCAGGCTCCATGATCCCTCGAAGGGCACAGGTGGGGTTCGTTAAGACAGGATAGTCCCTTGACTTAAGAAGTTGAGGGGATGATACCTGCAAGTATTGGCGAGAGGTCTCCCAGCCCTAAGGGAAGCAAGGTGGTCAGAAGTAGTGGCAGTCAACTGTAGGACCACGTGCTCTACCAAAGTCATCAATGTGGCTTGGTTTGTGGAAAGCTGCAGGCACACGCGATAACCACATGGTGGGGCTGCAGAATGCATGCAAGAGCACGGCAGAGTCTCATGTTGGCTGGTCACGGATTGCAGCTGCAGGACTGAGATCCAAGCCCCGTGGTGGGCAGGGAGAGCACCAAAGTGGACGTCTCGGGGGACCTGAGACCTGTGGCGAGCAGCGTTCGACAGAGGTATGCCAAGTGCAGATGGAGGGCACCGCTGACCTGGAGCCTTCGCGAAGTCATCGGAGTCTGCCATGAGGTCGGCCTGGGCAATGCAGTCAGCATAAAGGATAGTCCAAGATAGCAGTGACAGTTGGCTCCGAAGAGGTGTCAGTACAAGTGCGCTGACAGAGACAGCACGTCTTTTGTGAGTCCCACTCGAGAGGCAGCTGGGCACAAAACAACAAGTCTGCATACAGGAAGAGACGGCAGAGAGCTGACAGCTGTCAGGTGCACCTGTAGTGCAAGCTCTGCAGAAAGCTCGTGCCTGGCCACCATAGAACCTGTTGTCTCGTGGCTCAGCTCGGTGGCCTAACCGTAAGCGTGAAAGTCCAGCCCGCCACTTTGGTAGTGATAGTGGCTGGCTGCTGTTGCACAGGTCCAGCTGGTGTGCCCGAAACTCCCTCTGCTGCATTGACACTCGGTGCTGGGGGTGCAGTCGGAGGAGGCAGCAAGGTCGTAGTAGGCGATGGAAGCGTAGGAACAGCTCCCATTGCGACAGTGATAGGCCCTGTGCTTGGTGGAGCACCCGCTGGTAAACCTCCTGGAGCCATGGCAGCGAAGGCCTGCACCGGTGTTGTCGGAAGAGACGTGCAGGATGCTGGAGTCGGCGGGGGCGGCCCCGCGGGCTTACTTTTGGCACATCCAACGCTTCCTCGTGGCCTGTTGACCGGCACTGGAGGAGGAGGTCCTGCTGGAGCACTTGTGATAGCAGCTGGTGGAGCGGTGGCCTCCTCGCCTGAGCTCGGTGGGCTCGGTGGGCTATCAGATGAAGAGGACTCCGGAGCCACCGTTGCTTTGGCTTTGGGCCTTCCAGATCGCGACCTCGATGGGTTGCCTCTCCGTGCTTCCTTGGGGGACATCCTGGGCTGAGCGGGCTATGCGACAGCAAGGCTTGAGCACAGAAGGCGGCGCTCGGAAACAGCTGCTCTGAAGTGCACCTAGCAACTGGCCACAAGAGTAAGGGGAGCTGCAGATGCTGAGTGCCGGACCAAGCACACGGACTGGAGGCTGTCCAATTGGGACTCTGTAGCACAAAGTTTGAGCCCTGTTGCCATGGTGGGGCAAGTGGGAACAGACAGGCAAGAAGTGCAGCCATCATGCAGCCTACAGCCGTGTTGAGGTTGAGGCACTCAGACCTTCTAGTGCACCCGTTACTGTTGGGGGTGGCAGGGTCCCGCTGTTTCGACAACATCTCTCTTTCTCAACCTGGCGGAGCCAAGGGGCTTCTGCTACAGAAGAGTAGTAGTAGCAGTAGCAGTAGCAGTAGCAGTAGGAGTAGTAGTAGTAGTAGTAGTAGCAGTAGTAGTAGTAGTAGTAGTACGGTTGATGATATAAATCTTGCATGACCCATAATAAAGAATATACCATAATTCCCATAGTTTAGGGTCCTTAAGGTAATGCAGGATTTATATCATCAACAGTAGTAGTAGTAGTAGTAGTAGTAGTAGCAGCAGCAGGAGTAGTAGTAGTAGTAGTAGTAGTAGTAGTAGTAGTAGTAGGTAGTAGGTAGTAGGTAGTAGGTAGTAGGTAGTAGGTAGTAGGTAGTAGGTAGTAGGTAGTAGGTAGTAGGTAGTAGGTAGTAGGTAGTAGGTAGTAGTAGTAGTAGTAGTAGTGTAGTAGGTAGTAGGTAGTAGTAGGTAGTAGGTAGTAGGTAGTAGGTAGTAGGTAGTAGGTAGTAGTAGTAGTAGGTAGTAGTAGTAGTAGTCGTAGTAGTAGTAGTAGGTAGTAGTGTAGGTAGTAGTGGTAGTAGTGGTAATAGTGGTAGTAGTGGTAGTAGTGGTAGTAGTGGTAGTAGTGGTAGTAGTGGTAGTAGTGGTAGTAGTGGTAGTAGTAGTAGTAGTAGTAGTAGGTAGTAGTGGTAGTAGTGGTAGTAGTGGTAGTAGTGGTAGTAGTAGTAGTAGTGGTAGTAGTGGTAGTAGTGGTAGTAGTAGTTGTTGTTGTAGTAGTAGTGTCACTTTTGTCTGTGGAGGTCAAGAGATCGTTTTCGAGAAGGCCCAGTCCCTTGTCGAGTCCCTCATTGAAGTGTCCGTGGCCCACGTCCTGCGCCCTGACTGGGTGGTGAGGTTGGAGGTTTCGGTTGAGGATTTTTTCGGGTTCAAAGCTTAGATTAGTCAGGGTTTTGTTTTTGGGTTTAGGCTCGGAGCTTAGTTTACAGTGTTTTTTGCTTCGAAGCAAGTGAAACTGATCACTAGGCCCGACACCAGCAACTTCGGTGAGGATCTGTATTTTGACATGTTCCAAGCCCTACACCGTGGGTGAACTTGAAAGGCTGAGGGCAGATCCACTACAAACTTTCAACCCCAACATTTACAGGACCCACTACTCTAAACCTACGTTGAATGCCCGGCAGCCGTAAACCCAATGCCGGAGAAACACAGCGGCCAGCTATAAATGCATTGGGGCTTTAAGGATTCATGTGTTCATAGGTGCGGAAGGTTTAGGGGTTCAGGGCGTAAGTTGTCACCTTTTCTCAAATGTCTGGGAGTAAGGGTGTCTTTGTGTTTGAGTCGATAACTTTCAACCTTACCCGACTTGATATGCAAGTTTTTACCATGATATGCAAGTTTCTACCATAACTTGGAGACTTAAAAGATAACTAGAAGGTTTGTCGGACCGGGAACTTTTAACAAGTAGATTTGGAGAGGCATACAAGTTCGAGACCTTCCAAGTCCCAGAACCTACCTACACTTGATGGGCACAGTCCTGTGTGAAGGACCGTTAACCCAGATGTCCCCGGCCAGCTTAGCGAATTCCCTGTGAGCTTCAATACCTGAGGCCGACAATCTTAAGCCCACGCTCCAAGCTCCCAAGAAACAGTTGTTTTACCTCAAACGTGCATCCCCAACACTCTATAAATGCTCCCAAGCCACGACTTTTTCAACAGGATGATCCTGTTAATCCGCAACTGTCCATTGAAGAGTCCATGCGATGCAGCCAAAACATCCCGAGAGCACTGCCGGTCAAACCATTGTTCAAATTGAGTGCTCCGCGTCGCAGTGTCCAGGAAGTGGGGGGGGGGGGGGCGGGGGTCTTGTTTCTCGTTCATTTTCGGTTGACAGTACTGATGTCGTCTACTGCATGCCCAAAATTAGTTGTCCTTGCACTCCCTGTGTTCACGCAAATTCTTTGCATGTGCCGTGGTGTTTAATTCGAGTAATTCTTTGCATGTCCGTTGTCCACTCTGAGTACAGCGTCGCAATGCATGCATGTGAGCTCGGGTACAATTTTTGCAATGGGCAGGTGAGAGAAAAGAGTAAATACAGTACCGAGAGACAGCGACCTTGTCCGATCGTACCGGTAAATTTTTGTTGCAAAGAGTGTGTAGTTGAAGAATGCTGAAGATTGCTTCGATGTCTTTCTTTGAAGCCTTGAACCTCCCTCAGACTCTTAGACCGCAGCCCTGCAACTATGCCCTCGCAGAGGGTGAAATCCCAAAAAACAAACAAAACAGACCCTCGATATCACCGTGCTTGCTTTGCTTACGCTGCTTGCTTGCTACTTTAGGAAGTTGTTCCTCAGGGACAGTGATCATGGACGATTCGGGTCTTTGATTTGCAACTCTCTTCGGTTCTTTGGTGAAAGTACCTCAGCCTGATTGACTGAGCATTATCTTCCAGTGGGTCGCCAGGACTTCGGAGTGATTGGTTCTTCCTGCTTCGCTGCTGAGTTCTCAAGAGTGAATCCAGCTTGTGGCGGCAGTATTGTTTGTTACTGTGTCATCGTCTGCTACCTTGCGGCATCGATCCAGATCTTGCCGTTGCCTGTAAAGGTCACCCATGCTGGATGACTTGTAGAGCGGCGTGCGTTTGTCCTCCGCAGCAGGTGACAGCTATGCAAGCGGAGATGTCAGTACATCCTGAAAGCAGGACAACAAGAATTGAAATCCTTCTGGTGATCTTGACTGATTCATCAACACAGTCTACGAGATGGGGTGAGGACAGGATCCAATCTGGACTGGTAACGCAGGCATGGTTGAAAGCTGAAAAGAGCAAGGATTAGAGTTACGGTACGGGCAGATCTTGAAGAAGCAATGGCAGTTGCTGCAATTTATGAATCTGGGAATCGTGATGCTTTGAAGTTTGAAATTTGCTTTTTGTTGCGTTGCTCGAAAAGGGCTTGTGGAGGACTTGTACAGAAACTTGTATTTGATCGTCAAGTTCGCGAGATGCTTGACACATTTAGCGATGTGTGAATTCGTTGTTGTAGCTCGTGAAGTGCTGTGAATTCTCCACAGCACGTGAAGTGCTGCGATTTTTCTGAGTTGAAGATTTGCGAACTTGATGATTCCAAGCACAGGGTGTTTGTCAGATTAACAATACCTGCTTTCCGAAACTCATTTTGCTGTAGTGTCTTGTTTCTGTCAGACCTCGCTGCCGGTATTGTCCGTCGCCATATGGCCTAAAGCCTTAGGGCCCCTGGCCCTGCCAGCAACCGCGAAGTACTTTGTAATACAGCTTTTCTGGGCCCTAATCGTGGGTACAAAGATTTTGTTGCACAGTGTAGTTTGAAGTGTGTAGGTGAACTTTAACAATAGGACTTGGAAACTTCTGAGACTGTTATCAGACCCTTACAGAAGCCTTCT